AACATACCATAAAATTGACTTGCTTTAAGTATAAAATTCAATGAGCTTTAATGAATTTGCAATTGGACAATCACAATCACAATCCAATTTTAGAATATTTTCATCATCCCTAAAAGATCTCCCAAGTCCATTTATAGTTACTCCCTATTCCTACCCTCAATGACCATAATTCTACTGTCTCTTAGATTATCCCCTTCTGCAAATTTCATGTAAGCAGAATCACATAAAATGTGGTCTTTGTTTTTAAGTTTATCCATGTTGCAACATACTTAAGTTTTTTATTATTGAAGATTATTCCATTGTATAGATAAAACATTTTGTTTATAAATTCACCAGATGGTGGACATTTGGGTTATTTCCTGTTTGGAGCTATTAAAATGATACTATAAACATCCACATACAAGTCTTTGTGTGGACATGTTTTTATTTCTCTGGGGTACATAACTAGAGAGAAACTGCTGAGTCACACGGTAAATTTAACTTTTTAATATAAACTGGTAAAGTATTTTCCAAAGTGACTGAGTTATTTTATGCTTTTAGCAATGTATAGAGTTCTAGTTTCTCTATATCCTTCCCAATATTTGTTACTGTCTTTTTAAATTATAGCCATCATAGTGGGTGTGAAGTGGTATTAAGCTGTACCTTTACTTTGCATCTCCCTAATTACCAATGTCTTTTCATGTGCTTATCTAACATTTGTATATCCTCTTTCAAGAAATGTCTGTTCAAATCCTTAGCCCATTTTTATTTTTCTAAATTTAAAAAATATTTTTTGAGACAGATTCTCACTCAGTCCCCTGGGTAGAGTGCCATGACATCATAGTTCACAGCAACCTCAAACTCTTGGGATTGAGCAATCTTCCTTCCTCAGCCTCCCAAGTAGCTGGGACTATAGGAGCCCACCTGACACCCCACTAGTTTTTCTGTTTTTAGTAGAGATGGGAGTCTCACTTTGCTTAGGCTAGTGAGACCTCTTCTGGTCTCAAACTCCTGAGCTCAGGCTATCCATTCACCTTGGCCTCCCAGAGTGCAAGGATTACAGGTGTGAGCCACGGTGCCCAGCCTCTTTTGCCCATTTTTAAATTGGGTTATCTTTTTAGTGCTGGATTATAAGAGTTCTTTACATATTTTGGATACCATTTTATCAGAGATGATTGTAATATCTTCTTCTTTTGAGATAGGGTCTCACTCTGTTGCCCTGGATAAAGTGCAGTGGCATAAAATCATCATAGCTCACTGCAACCCCGAATTCTTGGGCTCAAGCTATCCTCCCTCCTTAGCCTCCTGAGTAACTGGGACTACAGGCATGCACTGCCACCTCTAACTAATTTTTTCTAGTTTTTGTAGGAAAGAGGTCTCATTCTTGCTCAGTGTGAACTCCTGTGCTCAAGCCATCTTCCCAACTCTGTTGCCCAGAGTTCTAGGATTATTGAGCCATTATACCCAGTCCACTTTCTTGATAATGTCCTTTGAAGCATGAAATTTTAAATTTTGATGAAGAGAAAACTCACTCTTATTATGAATTTATTCTCTCATGAACTGTGTATGTGGTATTATGGCTAAGAAATCTTTGCCTTTGCCTATTTCAAGGTCACAAAGATTTTATGTTTTCTTCTAAAAGTTATAGCTTGAGCTCATATATGTAAGATGCTCACTTTTCTTTTTCTTTTTTCTTTTTTGTTAAGACAGAGCCTCAAGCTGTCCCCCTGGGTAGAGTGCCCTGGCATCACAGCTCACAGCAACCTCCAACTCCTGGGGCTCAAGAGAAGTCTCCTGTCTCAGGTGCTGAGCCGATGCTCACTTTTCTAAAATCAATTATAGTAAAATGTACATAACCTAGCCTGAGCAAAAGTTAGAACCCATCTCTACTAAAAATAGAAAACCTGAGGCAAGAGGCTCAACTTGAGCCCAAGACTTGGAGGTTGCTGTGAGCTCTGATGCCACAGCACTCTACCCAGGGTGACAGCTTGAGGGTCTGTCTCAAAAAAAAAAAATAAATAAGGCTCAGTGCCTGTGGCTCAAGAGGCTAAGGCGCCAGCCACATACACCCAAGGCGGTGGGTTCGAATCCAGCCCCGGGCCGGCAAACAACAATGACAGCTGCAACCAAAAAATAGCCGGGCGTTGTGGTGGGCGCCTATGGTCCCAGCTACTTGGGAAGCTAAGGCAGGAGACTCACATGAGTCCAGTGGTTGGAGGTTGCTGTGAGCTGTGATGCCATAGCACTCTACCCAGGGGGACAGCTTGAAGCTTTGTCTCAAAATAAATAAATAAAATAAATAAAAAATAAAATAAAATAAAATTGGGAAGTCTAAGGCCTATAACTTTGGGGGTTCTCAACCAAGAATATCTTAGCCATTCAGGGTCTTTTGTGTTTTCCTATAAATCTTTTGATTTATCAATTTTTGCAAAAAATCTTGCTAAAATTTTGATTATATTGAATCTATATATCAATTTCAGAACTATCATTTTAATAATAGTCTTCCAATCCACAAATGTGGAATGTTTCCCTTCATGTACATCTTCAATATCAGCAATTTTTTTTGTGTGTGTGTGAGACAGTCTCACTATGTTGCCCTTGGTAGAGTGCCATGGTGTCACAGCTCACAGCAACATCAAACTCTTCAGCATAAGCAATTCTCTTGCCTAAGCCTCTCAAGTAGCTGGAACTATAGGTGCCTGCTACAATGCCCAGCTATTTTTGTTGTTGTTGTTGTTGTCACTGTTTAGCAAGCCCTGGCTGTGTTTAAACCTGCCGGCCTATCAGCAATGTTTTATAGTTTTCAGTGTATCAATCTTCTTTTGCTAAATTTATGCCTAAATATTTTATTGTCTTTCAAAGTACTATGGAAGGCCGTTTGTTTTACTTTTCATTTTATTTTTGAGTTGTTCCTTGCTAATATATAGAAATACAATGGATTTTTGCATAATGACACTGTATCCTACAACCTTGCTAAACTAATTTAGTTGTAAATTTTTGTGTCAATTCCTTAGGATGTTCTACATATAGCATGTTATCAGCAAATATACAGTTTTACTTCTTCCATTTCAAGCTGGGTGGCATCTATTTCATTTTGCTGCCTAACTACACTGGCCAGGACCTTTGATACATTGTCAAATATAAACAATAAGAATGGGCTTGGTGCCTGTAGCTCAAGTGGCTAAGGCGCCAGCCACATACACCTAAGGTGGCGGGTTCGAATCCAGCCCAGGCCTGCCAAACAACAATGATGGCTGCA